TTGCATAGATTTTAGGCATGAATGGAGTGGTGTTTAGCAAGTGGAACATTGCATAGATTTTAGGCATGAATGGAGTGGTGTTTAGCAAGTGGAACATTGCATAGATTCTAGGCATGAGTGGAGTGGTGTTTAGCAAGTGGAACATTGCATAGATTTTAGGCATGAATGGAGTGGTGTTTAGCAAGTGGAACACTGCATAGATTCTAGGCATGATTGGAGTGGTGTTTAGCAAGTGGAACATGAGTATATTTCAGTGTTGTAGTTAGTGTATTGCATTTCACAGATAGAAATATACAAAGTTACAATTATCTCTTTAATTCTCTCATGTTCAGCTCTAATTATTTCCCAATTGACAGCTAATTTATATTTTTGCCATACTATATCTGCCTTTAATTCATTGTTAATTTGTGACTGTTTATAGAGTTTCAGTGGAGCAGTGCGGTTGACAGCCAGGGAGCATACTTGATTGATCGTAGTGGTCGTTATTTTGAACCAATATTGAATTATTTACGCCATGGTAAACTAATATTAGATGATGAACTCAATCCACAAGGTAGGTAGAAACTTTGATTAATCTCTGATGGTAATGTCATGGCTGTCACATGTCAAAACACATGGGGATTGACCCTATAACTGGTAACGTGGTAAATATGTGTTTCTGCCATGTTGTGTTTCATTGGTGTAAAAGTCTATCAATTATTCTCTCATGAATTAACTAAAACTGTACAGTACATTCATAGTGGCGTAATTATAACACTAGTCATAGATATGATTCTATAAATGTATTGTATACAGAAAGTTTAGTTACTATGGCATTTGATTACATTAAATATGGTATTGTTATGAAAGTATTTATTTATTAGTTATTAATTTACTATTGTATTATCTTTAATTTTAATTTATTTAATTGTAAAGGTGTTTTAGAAGAAGCCCATTTCTATGGTATGACATCACTGATAGAACAACTAGAAGATTTACTCAAATCTAATGAGCCAGCTACTGACCATACACCAATGAAAAGAAGAGAGTTTTTAAATATTCTGATGTCAACACCGACTACATCACAGCTACGTTGCCAAGTATGACTACGTTTTTCACATCAGACTTTTCTATCTTTCTTCATCATGGGATTCATTTTTTTTACTAGTTTTTATTTGAATTAAGAAACTATTTGTTTTGATTTTGATCCAAGATGGCCGTCTGAATATGGTATATTGTGCACAGACTCTACAAAATTGTTGTTTCCATAGTAACCAAGCAGGTATCTCATGTTAGCTTTATTTAATACATTTGTTAACAGGGTGTGAATTTTACTGGTGCCGATCTTTCAAAATTGGATCTGCGTTCCATCAACTTTAAGTCGGCTAATCTGAGTAAAGCTGATCTATCTGGTGCTAATCTTGCATTTTGTTCTCTGGAGAGAG